CATTAGCCTAATATACTTATGTGACTGGAGCTATCTAAAAGGAGAAAAAAATGTAAAATAAACTGTTTAAAATAGTATAGAATTAAAAGGCAGGAGCACAGAAAGACATGTGTTGTTGGGCTGGTGAGTAAGACTCCACCCCTATTTGAACAGCCTAGGAGAGATGAGTAGGATGCAGGCTTGCATTACTCCGTGCCTTTGGGCTTCTTGTTTTCTCATACGCTCACCTTGCTTTCAAATGGAGGAAATTGATATATCAGTTCCAGATGGAGCTGGAAACAGTCCTGGGGTCTTTCCATTAACCAGAATGAGTCCAGGGCCACCTTTGTGCCTTTACGGTCTCATCCCCAGGACACCCTAGTAGAGATCTTATTCTTGGAAGGAACATAGACATAACTAGACTCTAGAAATAACCAGAATCTCCTGGATGCTTGCAGCCTCTCTGCAAATGCCCTGGCATGCCCATCTTATTCATACCCTTCCCTGGATAGCTAAATGATTTAAGATTGCTGTGACAGCCTTTTACAACTATGTTCCATTTGCAAAAATTACATTGGAATGGAATAACGTGCATAGTATAATCTGTGTTTTGAAAAGTATAGCAGCAATGATCCTTTCAGTATGCTGGTTTGCAATTGGATGCTGTTTAGCTGAAAAGATAAATTCTAACTTAAAATGAGTACTTCAGTTATATGTGTAGTCTTTGATAAATACATCATTAAATATATCTGCTTGTAAACATATCAAGCATAACACTGCAATCTCATAATTCAGTTCTGAATAAGTATGCTTAGGGTTGTGTTTCATTCGTTTAACCCTGCTTAAAAGTGAGTCCCATTGAGTTTAAGAGAAGATTAGAATATATGCAGCTCAGGGTTGAACTATGGAGTCCTTGGCGCTCTCTGAGCTTGGTTGTTTTCTTGCAGACGTTTCAATATCTAACTAGGTAACATCATCAGTGCTAATGGAACTATTCCCAGCCGAGGGAAAGAACGTTTAGCCCGTCCCTTACTCGATCCTGTACTTCTTCTGCACTCATCACTCACCTGGACCCTGCTTTTACCTGTTGGAGTTCCACGTTTATGCTTGGAATCCTTTTGTTGATTACCAGCTGAAAACAGTATCTTTCAAAACTTGCTTTTCTACATCAAGCAGTTACCCAGTTTTAAGTATAAGTATTCTTCTGTGAGGGTTTTTTTTTTTTTTTGCCTTTGTACATTTAGAAGAAAATTCTACTGAACACAGGGATTCACTTCTAATAATTAAATGGGCTAATAAGAAGGGAGGAAATGTTTGTTAACAGGACTTATGGATGCTTACTTACTTGACAGTTACTGGTACTTCCTGCAAAAAGAAATCACGTATATTGTCACTGCTTTTCTTTTGTGATTTTATAGACGCTCAAAGCTAAACGCCGGCCACTGTGGGGTCTTTACTTCTTTGATGATAGAGAACAGGATTTTTACTTAAAACCTTTCCATTGTGGTGTAAAACTTGAATGGGTATGCCAGATCACTAAAGGTACATTTTAATTTCAAACATAGATTGTTTAGTCTATTTTTTTAGAAAGGAGATCCACTGTATTCAGCATGGCTTATTCCAGATAAGTGTGTGTAGGATTAAAGCATTTTTAGAGATATCTTCACCTTTATTTCATTCAATGTGTCAGCATCATGATTGGCCAATTTCCTGTAACCCTAAAAAACCGAGTTCTGAAAATGTAATAGTTTTTTTTTGTTTTTTTTCCAAAACTGGAGTTCTTTTCTGTCTGACTGAGGGTTAAATCAAACATTGAAGTCCGAAGTTTGGTATACATTATTTCAAAAATGTGTTATATAAAAGCATTTTCTTCCTTTTTCTATCCTAATGTTACCAATGTCAGTATCCTCCAACTAGGATCTGGCAGCGTATCACAGACTTCATGACTTTGCATGAGTAAACTTATTTCCTAGGTTAGGACTTGGCATAAGTCACGGTTTAGCAGACACAGTTTGGCTGAATAAGAATCTTTATTGCAAACAACAACAAAGCCAAACAAAATAGTTGATATTTCACCATCAGTATAAAAGTGCAGATGCCTCTCTTAGTTGTAGTGGTTCAGACCCAAAGCCTTTTCTTTCCACAAGTTAACAGGCTCTGCACAACGCATAGTGTCCTTGAAGTAAAGCAGTTGTTGAAGGTTTATGTAAATGCCTGCTCTAATCTGAGAACCATGGGCCCACTGTGTACTTTCCAAATTAAAACTACTGTTTGACTTTCCATCCTATTTTAACTGGGCCAGCAATGCTGTTAAACAAAGAAAAAGCACCACCTGATATCAGAATGTGGATGCCCTCCAAGCTAGCTATTGAAAGATCGTTACATTTTTACTCTACTGTATAGCCTGTCTCAGGTGCTTAAATGCTTGGGGCCAGCATTCTCAAATTGTAAGTTCTTTTTGTGTTTTGGAACAAGACTTTGCCAGAGATATATGGCAACTGATCAAAACATTAGTGTAATTTCTTTGCTTTCTCTCTGGCTATTAATGGATAGGAAAATTAATTCCGTACCATGAAGTAATTGTTCTCTGAATAATCAGATCTATTTGATTCCATTTGCTGCTACTTGCAGCACCCATTTAGAGTATGGTAATATCACACCATACAACTCTTTATACAACTCTTCCAAGAGCTCTTTAGGATTTTTGATCAATTAAATGTTGGATTTTTCTGAATCACTTCAGTGTGAAAGTGTAATATTAAGAGCAAAGGAAAGTCTGTCTTATGTAGAAGGAGGAGGAAGTTACCTTGAGACTAGAATTGCTTTTTAGAACATGGGTATTCATGCCTCAATTAGTTTCAGTGTTTAAAGCAACTCAAGAAAGTTTATATGCATAGGGGGGTGTTAAATTATTGTTGAATTCATGTTTATATGCTCCTGTTTTACTAGAAGTTTGTTCCAATTGTAAGGTAAAACAATGACACGTATCCTTTTCTAACCAAGGATATATTAGTACACCCAGTGATATGATTTTTCCTTATCAACAGGTAGCACTCCAAAGATACCAGAATGGTACAAACCAGGTGAGCTGATTTCTTTTCATACACTTCATTGTTGAGCTCAGGGACCTTCCTTTTTGCAGCCTCATGGCAGCTTTCAAACAGATGGGATTGTTGGCTTAATCCCAGTTCAACTACAAGTAGTCCTTGCCTAACGACTACAACTGGGACTGAAATCTTGGTCGTTGAGAGAAGTGGTCATTAAGTGAGACACCCACATGACTGCTTCACTCAATGACCACAATCCAGGCACTCCCAGTTGCAGTTGTTAAGCGATCTCCTGGGTCGTTACGCAGACAGAGCGAAAGAGCTGTCTGCTGAAGGATTTCAGCTCCATGTGGAGCTGAAATCCTCCCAGCAGGCAGCTCTTTGACAGCGAAAGGGCTGCCTGCCAAACTGTTTCAGCTCTGCATAGAGCTAAAATCCTCCCAGCACTCTCACTAAAGCACTCTCACTCCCAGCACACTCACTAAAATCCTCCCTTTCACTCTCAGACGTTCCTATAGTCCGCCGAAGGATTTGCCCTCCTCTCCATGGACAGAGGGGAAATCCTTCCTGGGGCTCGAGGAACAGAGCTCAAATCTTCAGGATTTGAGCTCCGTTCCTGCACACTGCCGTGCCTTCCAATGGGGAAGCTGGCAGAGAAGATTGCAAATGGTCATCACATGATCACAGGGCGCTTGGCAACCGGTCATAAATGTTAGCCGGTTGCCAAATGCCCAAAATGCAGCCATGTGACTGCAGGGGGGATGACGTTTTACGACGGCCAGAAGTGCGTTATGGGCTGTAAAGCACCCTTTCTGAGGCTGTCATAAGTTGAAACCATTGTTAAATGAATGGTCATTAAGTGAGGACTACCTGTACTTCGAATAGCCAGAGTGTGCATTGGAGCTTTTGCACACTTGCATGAATAATATTTTTCACAACACTCTAAACATACATTAGCAATCCATATTCTGTGTGTCTGTGATTAAAACTTGAAATAAGCTTTATATGATTGAAATTTGAAATAAGCCTTTACCCAGAAAGAACTTGGCCAAGCTTTAGGAAAAACGAAAGAAGTTTCTTTTCAACATTCAGTAACAAATTTAAGAGAATCCGAAAGGTTAGGTATGTTGTTAATCTGTAAAAAATAAATGTTGTGATAGTGAATTTATTGATTGTCCGAGAACCAATGGGCTAAAACTATACAGGTAGACCTTGACCTACAATCATTTGTTCAGCGACCATTCAAAGTTAAGACGGTGCTGAACAAATGGTGGTTATGACTGGTCCTCAGAGTTCTGGCCATCCCAGCACCCCTGCGGTCATGTGATCACAGTCTGGGCGCTTGGCAACCATATTGCACTTACAGCTGGTTGCAGCGCCCCACGATCATGTGATTGCTATTTGCGACCTTCCCTGCTGGCTTCCCCAGAAAATCAATGGGAAAGCTGACAGAGAAGGTCACTAGTCGCCAGGGTAAGTCTCCTCCACCTGCGCATCCTCCCCCAGCCCCTCTGCACTTGCACTACACTGGCCATTTGCGCAGCCCTGCACACCCTCACTGACCTGCACTGCAGCCCTGCACACCCCTCCTGACCCACGCCACACCTCCATGTGTTCTCCCTGACTTGCAGACCCTCACACACCTGACCCGCACCACACCCCCACATGCCCACCAGATATGCGCCACACCCTTGCACACCCTCCCTGACCTGTGCCATGCCCTTGCACACACTCCAACCTGCGCCACACCTCTCGTGCACCCTCCCCAGCTGGGCCACACCCTCCCCAATCTGCAGCACGCCTCTTGCACACACCCTCTCACCCTCCCTGAGGTACGCCGGACCTTTTGCACACCGTTGTGCACCCACCCCAAACCACACTGCATCTCTCATGTGCACCCTACCCAATTCTCGCTGCACCTCTCGTGCACACCTTTGCATCCTCCCCAACACTTGCTGTGCCTCCCCTGCGCATCCCCTCACTCCCTTCCGCACCTGGAGCAGCCACTTACCTGCCTGCCAGCCTGGGACTTGCAACTTCCTGTTGGCTTCCCCACTGACTTTGATTGTGGGAAGCTGTCAGGAAGTTGCCTCACCTAATCACCATGGGATTTGGTTAATGACAGCAACCAGGACTGCAGGGATTGCTGTTGCTAAAAAATGTGGTTGCGCTTTATGACTGTATTGCTTAGTGACGGAGATTCCAGTTCCAATTGCCATCGTAAGCTGAGGGCTACTTGTAAGAAAGTAGGTTCAGACTAGAGGTCAGGATGAACTTCCTGTCTGTGTACTGGCTTTCAGCCAGTGAAACAGTTTACTGCATGACATGATGAGTTCTTCTCTGGAGACTTGAATGGTCATTGAGCAGTTTTATATAGGTAGTCTTCAGGTTATGATGGTAATTGGGACTGGAATTTCCATCACTAAGCAATTCAGTCATAAAGCATATTGTCACCTGATCGTATCACTTAGCAACAGCAATTCTGGCACTCAAATCCCACCAGTCGTTAGGTGAGGACCCACCCCGATCCAAGCCATTCCCAGCTTGGTCCTTCCCAGCTCTGAACCTCAGTAAGGTAAGACTGTTTCCTCTTGAACTCCTCCCCCTCCCCCCCGAACTCC